AAAGTATATTGGTAAGCATGGCTTATGAACCACACATTATGTTAAGCCCTGCAGATATGACAGAGGACAAAGTAGACACTGCTACTGCTGCCACACAGATCACTCAAATAGATCATTCTCGTCTAGCTGGAGAGACAGACACTAAATAAAAAAAAATGGACATCATGATTATTTGCAACGAAAGAACCATAGGCAATTTCTAACTATCGACAGAGAAGTACAGCTATAGAAAATTTAGAATGGAGGGCTAAGGAAGGCTTCTTTCAGAAACTGACATTTAAAGACAGGAATTGAATAATCACTAGAAATGAGCCAAATGAAGAATGATGACAAGAAGTAGACTAGAGAAAACACTCTAGGTGAAGGGGGGAGTGTTCAAATCAAGTTCTTTCCTGAATCGGCAAAGAGCTTGGTGCATTCAGTATCTGGCAAAATGCCAAAATAGCTGTGACCTAGTGGGTATGTGGGGGTGAGGGGGTCAGTAAGCTTTGAAAACTTCACTCTGGTACAGGAATTTTTATCTAATGGCCATGGGGAGCTATTGAAGAGTTTTAACTGGGAAGCAACTTAAGCATTTTTGTGTGTCAAAAGTTTACTTGACCAAAGAGGAAAACAAAGGGAGAAAGGACTCATGGACACAGGCAACAATGTGGTGATTCCTGGGGGTAGGTGACTGGGTGGAGGTGGAAGAGGGTCGGGGCGGGGGGGTGCATAAATGATAGTGGAAAAAATACAATTAAGAAAACTTCACTTTGGCTACCATATAGAAAATAAATGGGAGGCGAAAAGAGAAAGACTAGATGGAGAGTAAGCAATAACATCCTGGCAAAGAGATGATTGTGACTTGAAATGTGGAGGTGGTCCTGGAGATAAGAGAAGAGGAAAGAAATGTGAAGAGGTGCTAATGGGATGCAATACACAAGACCTTGGAGTGGGTCACTGGAGGCTCCCAGAAGTCAGGAACATAGTTGGGAAGATGAAACTCCCACGTCCTAGGAAAGGGAACACTCGAGGACAAATCACCAGTTTTGGAGAAGATCAAAAGGTAAATTTTGAACATGTTAATTTTGATCTTATGATCTCTTTGATGTCCATGAGGTATCTACCCAGGACACAAGAAAGACATGTTTGGTAGTTGATCGGATAGATACCTGAGTCTGGTCAATCTTTAGATTTGTTGCCACAGAATCACTTTAAACATTTCATTATTTAGATCCACTCCAGGCCTAATATATTAGACTCTTCAAGTGAACATAGCCAATTTAATACCCTGAGGTTAAATGCAGTGAAAATACTCAATCATCACTGGATAGTTGCACTAGTTAAACTTTAAGCTCCCTGACAACTTTGAGTGCCAGAAGTTTATGAATAGGAAGCCAGAGTGAGTATTAAACCTATTACTACTTTCTAGGGGTGAGTGTGTTACACAAGCCATGAAACACCCTGGAAAAGGAAAGCTATATTTAGATCTTTCTATTTACATTTCCATGTTTGCCATATGATGCTGCCACTTTGGCCATAAACTAATTGATCCAGGAAACAGACTCTCACCAAAGGCAACACTGTAATTGTTCCAGTGGTCTGTGTGATGACCTTTCTTAAGAATCCAGCCCAATGTTCAATCATTTTGGATAGTACTAATTTACCAAATCAGACTTTATATTTGGCCAGACGAGAGGGGAGTGGTAAAAAGTATACCTGGAAAACAAAAGCATATGGATGAGTAGGAACTCAAAGTTAAGGGAGAATCAGACAGCGAGAGAAGCAAAGAGAGACAGTAGCAGAGGCACAGGTATGACAATTAATAGATCAAAGCTCAAGAGATAACCTGCTTCTGATCAGATGACAATGTGGCTGAATTCCTTGGTTCATTACAGTTAATTTATTCAACAAGTATTTATTGAGCCCCTACTATGTGCCTGGCATAGACACCTCATTCTAGGTACATTATACTGAGTACTATGGAAAAAAAAACAAGGCGGTATGTAAGGACCTAGATAGTGATGGTAGAAGGAGCAATTAATTACTGGGATAAAAAGGCCTGTCTGAGGAGGTACCATGAGCTGAGCCACATCTAAGGCCACTGGGTAAAGAGCATTCCAGAAAGAACAAATGGGAAGTATACATGCTTTGAAATGCAAGTCTGTTTGGCATGTTTAAGAACAGCAAAAAAAAGAAAGAAAAAGTCCATAATGTTGGACATCAATGAACAAAGGACAGCGTGAAAAAAGATGAGATCAAAGAAGGACACAAATGCAACTCATTCAGGCACTCATAAGCCATGGTTGAATTAGTAATTTTATTCTGAATGTAACAGGAAGCCACTGAGGATTTTGATGAAGGGGATGGTGTGATCACATTTGTGAGTTAGAAAAATTACTTTGGTTTCTACGTGGTGGAGATTATAGAGGGCAAGAACAAAATCCGAGAGACCAATAAGACTACTGCAGAAGCCCAGGCAGGAATGAACGCTGACTTGCACAAAGTAGTAGCAGTGGAAAATATAAAAAGTAGTCAGGTAAAGAATGCACTTTGAAATTACAGCTAACAAGTGTAGCTAACAGGTTGGATAAGGAAGAGGTGTCAAAAATTATGCAAAGGTTTTTGTTCTCAACAGCAGAACACAATTTACTGAGATGGGAAGAAAACAAATGAAAAAAAAAGCCAATGTGTTTGGTTTTAGACACATTAAATGTTAGAAACCTAGTAATAGTCAATGAAGAATTTCAGTAGCTAGTTCGAAATGAGGGTGTGAAGTTCAGTAGATAATATTAGGACTGCAAATAGATATTTGAGAGTCATCAGCATATCAGCCTTGACAGCGCGCCTGTTAAAATGGTTTTCTCTGCTCTATTTCTTCCCACATGCCTTCATATAGCACTTACATTATAAGATGTAACCTAGACGCGTGTTTTCTGAAACTTGGTGGAGTCATAAGTAGCATAGCAAGTGAGAGAGGGGAAAAGAAATGAATGTAAGGGATCAGAGATTAGCCTCACTATGCAGTACTTGAAAAGGTATAGGTGGGATGTAGCATCTCTCTTTTCCTGCTACTTCAGCATCTGTACCCAGTAAGTCTTCATAACCTAATAAGAGAGGCGAATAAAGGAGTCTTGCTAATTCTCGTTTTGTTAAAGCAGTTACTCACTGAGTCTTTCATGAGCTCCAGTTGGCCTTTCTGTCAGTGATTATTTTTTCAGAACTCTTAATCATATCTGCTGCTGTTTTGCTTGGCTAGAAAATGTTTTTTTACACTCAACAATTGCATGTTCCAGTGCAATTTGAAGAATCATACATTTCAGAGCAATTGTAGTGTTGTATTCGGTATCTCAATAACATTTCCTTTGCTAATTCATCTTTCTCATGATTGAAGCTTCACAGTGTGCTCACATGTACCATATGTTACCATTTCTTAATTCTGTCTTGAAAAATTTATTTTTAGCTCTTTGGGACAGGTAAACTGAATAAAATATGTTGATTTAGCTTCCCCTTTTCTTTTATCAGAAGCAAGAGACTTACCTAGGTACTTACTAGTTATAAATGAGGATCTGTCTAAGTGGCTTATAATAACACTCTGCTAGTCTATTGAAAGAATTACCGTGGTCTCTCAAGCCTTGACTCATGGCCAAAAATGATTATCGTTGAATGACCATCTTGGAAAGCTTGACAGTAGTAAGAGTGTATGTAAAAATGTGCAATGTGACTAAATTTCCTAAATGTTAGGATCCCACATTCTTATGACATTTGAGAACTAAATATAATAAAAACCATGAGCCCTTGGGGCCTTGGTTTTAATATTGCCCTTTAAAAATAATACGATTATTCTCTGAGGACATGAGAACAGTATTACTTTATTTAGTTAAGCTTAAAAATAGAACAGAGGAAATCATTAAGTTAGTGAACATATATCTTTCATTGTTGCCCATTTCTACCAAAACTGATATGTCTTGAAAGTACAAGAGATATTTGTACTTTCCCTACTTACAATAGGGAAGATATGTTCAAAATGATGCATTTATCTTCAGAGAAGAATGCCTGATAGTCTCAATAGTTACACTGGCATAAACTGCAATGCTGATGATTGGATTATTTACCACAATCTTACAAATAAGCAAACATGTTTTATAGCTACACAGGAAGGAAGTTTACTGAAAGTAGCTCTTAATGTGTCCATTTATAGCCCACCTCCCTGCAAAGGCCCCAAATCTAGAGAGAATACAGAGTGCAAATCTGCACTCTCAACTTAGACATCTCTCCAGACTCCAGAGGAAGATGCTCAGCTGGACTCGCCTGCAGCTGAAACCAAGCTGGATGAATACATGATGAACCACTGGGCCAACGGCCCCACGCCAGGCTGGAACATGAGCTACTGAACTAGACACACTCTGCCTTATGTCAGAAACATTTGGGTGTGAAAAATAAAAGAAGCCTTTCTTGGAATTGACGTTGCTCAAAATTCTGATGCACTTAGATGTTCTCTTAGCAGTTCCAATTTGGGGAGAAAATTCTGTGATAATGCCAAAGTCTGAGTTAGCATTCTTAGTTGTTATTCCAACAGCTGTTATATGTACAGCTAATGGGTGTTTGGGTTTCTTAGAGCTGCTCCCAACACAAGGCAATGAGGCAACACTTTACATTAAATCTGCCCAAAATGCTACTTTGTTTTAACCAAGAAAAAAGTAGCAATCATCTGCCAATATTGGAAAGAGTAATTAGGGATTCTGGAAAAATAGCTTCAAGGAAAATATGAGAGAAAAGGTTAAAACAAGCTTTTGTCATTATTTTGGATCATGTGAATCTAGTTACCCTTTCTTCAACCACCTATTTTACTCCTGATGAAACCAAGTCTGAAATAGATAAAGTATCTTAACTAAAGTTCTCATTAGTAAGTAAGTGAGACTAGATCTAGGTTATTATCAAGCACACAGTCCTTGAGAACAGACAGCCCGCCAGCTTTAAACTCAACACTTGGAACACCCCGAACAGTACCTGAACAGTACCTTTCATGGTGGGTGGTGTGTACACGCTCTGCTTCCTTTGCTTAGGGGATGCATTCTGTGACTGTGGACAGAAAGAAAAAGTCTTATGTTTGCATATAAAGACAATGCCATCAGTCATCTGAGGGAAACAAACACTATGCTGTATTTCAAAAAGCTTTCTGATGTACCTCTCATAAAACAGAACTCCAATCAATGAGAAATTGTATACTTGTTCACTGGTAATAAAGTGTTAAAAGATATATGAAGCTATGGCATGTCTTATCATAAAACTCTTCATCCACTGCAGTCTTAAAATTGCTTTTTATTTTCTCATCTAATAACATTATTTCATTCTAAAAGAAAGAGAAAAAAGAGACACTAATCTTTTCCATTTAAAAGGAAAGTATAAGTGCCAGGGCAAAAATATACTCCTAAAGCTATGCCCACGAGATAATATCCTGTCCCTAGGATTGTCAAATGGTTCTGGCAGGATGGGGAGGGTGCTTGGTCAGTGACACCAATCTACAGCCCTCTGGAATTGATAGGTTCAATCTTGTATCTACATTTACTTAGAATTAGGATGTTAAGATTATATTTTTCTACAGTCTAAAGATAAATCTTTCTAACAAAACTGCTATTGGGCACTCTTATCTAAGCTCAGTGGATCAGGATTTCTTTCTCTCAGATGACCCTTGAACAACGCAGGGCTTACGAACACCAAAGCCCCGGCCGGTTGACCTGACTACACACAGCCCTCCACAGGAGCAGATTCAACCAACCACTTAAGGAAAAAAGTATTTTCAAACCACTGTGGGGAATCTGGAGTTGCAGAGCCCAGTTTGGGAATGAGAAGATACCGTTTTCAATCCACAGTTGGTTGAATCTGTATACGCGAAACCCATAGATTGGAAGAGCCGACTGTATTTATTAAAGAAAATCTGTATATAACTGCAACTGCCTAGTTTATACCCATGCTGCGTGTGTACGTATATATAATATTATTTATTATAATAATATATATGTGGCCTATACTCAAATTGGATTATGTCAAATACTCCTTTTTAATGGTGTCTATTTTCATTTCAATATGTCAAATGTAGGGGTTTTAATATCTGGAGCAATAATTTTTGCTTTGAAAAGCTCAAGTATAAATACTTACAGGATACTTTGGGGGAATTACTCTAGGCTTGTCATGTATATTAGAAAGAATGTAATGTACAGACTCTAAAAAACTCCTAGAAACTGTTTTACAAAGTTGTAAATAGAAATTGCAGTATCTTTCCTGGTTTATACTGAAGCTTAATTGTCCTCAAAGTATAATCAAGATGTTGGTTTTTAGCTGATGCAAAAACAATCTATTAAAAAGTTAAAAAAATTAAAATATTTTAAATTATTTTATTATTAAAATGTTATTTAATTATTAAAAATAAAATAAGTTAATAAAATATATTTAGGTATCAATAAATTTAGATTAACTAATTGGCTCAATTAATTTAAAATTCTATTTTGTCACTAAAAGATATATTTGAATAAAAATATAGAATATAAAAATATACTAAAACCTATTGAAAACAAAGGGAAAACAGGATTGAGAAATAATGATATTTTAACATAATAGTTTATTTAGCAAATTAAGTGAATCTTAAATAAGTACTACTATTTTTTTAAGTAAAAAGACAAAATCAAACAATTGCCAAACATATCAACCAAACAAGTGGTACAAGAAAATTTCTCCAGAATAGAATGTTTTGGTACCAGTGTATTACACATAGATACAGGCAGGGTGAGTCTATATGAGCATAAATGTGTGAATGGTTGGTATTTCTGCCATTCTTCTACTGTATTCAGTCACACCTGGCTGATTGTGCAAAGCAATTGCTTTCTGGATTTCTTATGTATTTATTTGTACACACATATTCAAACAGTAAGTAGGAAATTAACTCTTTAGAAAAAACTATTTGTTATATAACTGTACTAAAACTTAAGTAATAAAAACTATATTTATGTGAGAGTTTAATTTCCAAAACATTTTCCCACACACAATCTCATTAAATTTATAGTATTTGATATTTGTCTTTTTACATTTTTCTGCATATTTACTATATGCCTACTTATGCAGCCATGAAAATTAACTACTAAGTCAGTGTGCAGCATATTAAATATTTGTTTCATTTCTGGGTGCAAGTTTACTCACTTCTGCAGTCTATGTATTCTATATTATCAGTTCCGCTAGCCTCCCCTGGTTCCTATTCTCTGAACTCCCATGTGTGCATTTGGAGACTCTGGCCCTATGATCTGCTCTTGCCTCCACACCCTGGAACTCTGTAAGTGGTGCCTGTCCCCCATACTTTTGCTTCAGAATTTCAGCATTGGCTATCCCCAGCCTGTGATGGTCATATGCCAGAAGTCAGTAAATTGAAATTATCAATACCATATCTTACCATTAAAAGCAATGGTTTCTTTTATAACTTTTTTCAAGGGTTAGATTGCATTGTTAGAGAATTAAGGCACCCTACAGGCAGAGATTTAGTGGCAAAGTTTACTGCATGTGCAGTCAGGTAAAGCAAACTAAATAGTTTTTGCATCACTGTTATATTGATATCATATTTTATACTACAAAAAAATCAAGTAATAGTGTTTTTTATTGATCTGAACACCTGTTTATACGAATTGTAAGAAAACTTACTTCTGCTTGTGTGTTGGTCACCCTCTTGTCATCTATTTCTGCAAGAGAAGTAGGTGTAATTTATTAGAAAGGTGAAATTCTTTCTTATGATACCATTAATATTTTCAACAACACAAATCAACATGATTTAACAATGGCCTATGTTTATGTAACATTTGCGGCTTAGTCTAACAGCTGAGAAGAAAAGGGGAGCAGAAAGAGGTGGTTTCCTTCTGAGATCATCTTCTCCCAAAACTTTTAAAAAAGACAATAAAAAAATCTTGCCTGAAATTCCAAATTGCCCATCTTCCGGCAGTCTAGGCAGGGGACCAGGAAAATGACTCTTACAACAGCCATCGGTGTCGTCAACCTTGCCGCGCTAAAGCACAACCAACCTCCTCTGCCCACGGATTTTGTTGCCACTGTCTTCGTACTGGAGCCTCTCTATCGAACTTCCTCAAGTTCGCCCTTACGCACAAGAAACCTTTTTCAGTCGGCACAATTACTCTGACTCTAATAGGGTCGGCAATCTCTTTTCTACACGCCACTGGAAAGAGTGTTACTTAATCAGAAATATTTCTTACGACAGCGCTAGGGCAACTTCTACCTAGTCTGTATAAAAAAGTTGTGAGGAAGGAGAGAGAGGAGAAAGGTGCTCACACACTCCTTTTTCACAAAGGGAGGCCTTTCCGGGCTGGGCTTCTTCCCCATCTCCTCACCTACTTTGCTAGGATTCTGCCTCTGGGCTCCTGGACCCAGTTCCCTTTTTCCTGACTCTTACGTTAATCCCGATGCTGAGAGACTGATCCAAACACTGAATGAGGAGTTCATCAAAGACTATCTGCTTAAAGATATAGATCTGTATTTATTAACATGAATACATGCTACATAGATGAAAAGGATTTGGAAACTATATAATGGTATTTTTACTTTATAAAAGATAGATAAAATACAGATGTAGAGATGATAGAGAAATGAATACATATGCAAAGGATATATACCAATATGTTAAAATATAGTTATCTCTGGGTAATTATATAACACATTTTGCCTTATCCTTATCCTTATTGTTTGCTTTTCTTTTTCCAGTTAACATGTATTAGTTTTACAATAAAAAACAATGTATATGCATGTATATAGATGTATACACACATATATAGTAAAATTTTTATTTAAATCCACAATATATAAACTTAATATTTCATATAGTAAGAAACCAAAATAGCCAAGCAACTAAAATGAATAATATATATAACTAATGTTTATTCTAATATTATATTGGTTACTAGATTTTAAAAATTTATAGAAACTTCTAAGGAATTTTACCTCTCTTGTATGTGGAAAGGCAGGCAGAAAGGAAACTATTAGTTGAGGATGGCAATCACAGTTATTCAATGTAATTACTGGCATTACTTGGCTCAGTATCAGGCAGCTGTTAATATACTGAATTGAAAACTTCTGTCTAGGAATGTGAAGTCTTTTGCTATCATCTTTTAAGTAAATATCAAATGTGATCCCCCTAGTAATGTATACATTACTACAGTAATGTGATCCATTTGGTCTGAAAAGAAATTCCTTACTTTGAGAGACAAATGCAAAAGTAAACTAAGCATAATGTTTCGAAGAATATTGTCATCACTGAAGATGGAGATGGTGATAGAAATGATCTGGATGCTTTTGAGACATTTAAATTCACAAAAGGAGTAGGAATAACTCAAGTCAAAGCAACTCACACAAAAGTACAAAGTGAGACAAGAATAGATCATGGATTTTTTGAGATGCACTGACTGATGTAAGGACATTTCCATTTACTTTAATAGGTTATTATTAAGTCAGGAAGGTTATGTGGATGCACGTAAACTGTGAACACAATTGTCTTATTATTTTTAAAATACGCAATTTCAATTTCATTGAAATTCATATTTAAAAATATGCAAGGCAATTTCATCAGATTTGGAAAAATTAGTTGTGATAAAGTACATCTAAAAATAAAGTCTAAAAGAGAAGGAAATAGAAAAGACTATGATGAAAGAACAAGGAAAAGTTTCTGAACTACAACAGAGTGAGAACTACAGAAACTAAGAAGTGGAAGATATATAAACAGATAGAAAACTACAGAAAGCCTAGAGAGTCTTGACTATAACTGGCTGAGGAATTTGTTTCTTAAAGAAGTCACTAGAGTGCACACATAATTCCTAATATGATTCTTCTACTTTTCGGTCATGACCATAGACAATTCCCTTACTCTTCATGAACTTCAGTGTTTTCCCATTTCTGCCTTCCTCATTTCATCCTAAGCTTATTTTTAGAAATTAAAAATATGACAAAATGAGAGCCTAACTCCCACTGTTTAAGTATGGGTGTACATAGTAAGTTTCTACTTATTTATTTATCTATTTATTTATATATTTTTGGTTACAGATTACATACAAATTTATATTAGTTTTAGGTCTACACCATAGTAATTAGACATTTATAGAACTTACAAAATGATCACCCTAATAAGTGTAGTGCCCATCTGACATTAGAGTGAATTCCTTTTAAAGAGCACAGTTTGAAAAGGGGGAAGGTGGATATAAATGCTTTTCATTAGAGAAACATGGCAAGCATTACCTCAGCAAGATGATCAAGGTCAATACCAACAGTCAGAAATTAATAGTATGAACTCTTAATGTAATGAAGATGGCACTTTACCTCAGTGATCTGCCTCCCAAAAACCCATAACCTCAGTCTCCTCATAGGAAAACACCAGACAAATCTCAATGGAGAGGTGATGCTGGAAAGATAGTGGAGCAGGAAGAAGCATCAGGAATACTAGACAAAAACTGTATTGGAAAAATCTGTTTGATGTAACTATTTTGAAACTCTGGAGACTATTGAAGAATTGCAATTTTCAGGGAAAGACTTGGAAGGTCAATTTTAATTAATTTTAGTCAGTTTACCCTTGCCTTGCTCCCAACCCCATGGCAGGCAGCCAGGCACATAGCACAGAAGCCTGCACACAGTTTGTGGGTGCCAGGGCAAGCAAAGAGGATCCTGTCCTCCGAATATGAGAGACCTGTCCTCTGACCACTGATTGCTTCTTCTGATCTCAGATGTGGAGACACAGAGGAGAGCAGCCACTGTTGTTGCACCACCCCCCTGACCCCCCAGTTGTTAGAAGGTCCTCAGCCTCCGGCTGAAATGACTTCTGGAGGATTTGAACAGTTAGGGCCTTTTCCCCCTCCCTTTGTTTTTTTTTTCTTTTTCCCATTTTGTGAGCTAGACATTAAAGTCTATGAAATTCAAAAGCCAGTGCACATCAGAAGAAATTAGAAAGTAACTACACATGCTCAAAGAAAGATGCAAGTGCAGAAAAGACCTAATAAAACCTTAATACCTCAGAATTACACCAAAATGTTTACTATTGCCCCCACCCTGGTTCTAAGGCCTTTGGATTTCGAGTGCAGCTATAGCATTGGCTTTCTTAGGCCTCTAGCTTACCGATGACAGATTGTGAGACTTAATGGTCTCTATAATCATGTGAGCCAATCCCTCCATAATAAGTCTCTTTCAATATATCTCTTTATACCCTATTGGTTCTGTTTCTCTGGAGAACTCGGACATAATCATCAAAAACAAGGAAAGTGTCAGAAACTGTCGTAGCTAAAAAGAGTGTAAGGAGACATGACAACTAAATGTAATGGGGTATCCTGAAAAGAGCATTGTGTAAAGACTAAGGCTATCTGAGTAAAGTGTGGGTTTCAATTAATAATATATCATTGTCAGTCAATTGCAACAATATAACCCTTCAATGACTAATGCAAAATGTTCATAATGAGGGAGATAAATGGATATTCAATATGCCTTCTGTTAATTTTTTCTGTAAATCTAAAACTTTTCTTTAAAAAATCATCTTTTAACACATCGACTGGTGTGGCTTAGTTGGTTGGGTATTGTCCCATAAGACAAAAGGTTGCTGGTTTGATTCCTGGTCAGGATTCATGGTCCGGGTTGTGAGTTGAGTCCTCAGTCAGAGAGCATGCAAGAGGCAACTGATCAATGTTTCTCTCCCTCTCTTTCTCCCTCCCCTATCCTTTCCCTAAAAAATAATAGATCATCCATCAATAAAAACTTAAGCAAAAAAATAAATAAATAAAAATCACAAAACATGAATATAATTCACCCTATGCATATGCTTTGTTTTTACTGTTGGGATTCTGTATATGATTTGAATGACACCAGATAGTCATTATTAAAATGGTAGGTAATGCAACTGAAAGGAAGTTCATGGAAAATATATAATTTTTAAGAATGGTAGCCCTGACTGGGTGGCTCAGTTGGTTGGAACATCATACTAAACACCAAAAATGAGTACAGGGTGTGCATCTGACTCATGGTCAGGGCACATACTGATGTTGGGGCATGTATGGGAGGTCAATGCTTCTCTCTCTCTGTCTCTCTCTGTCTCTCTCTGTCTCTCTCTGTCTCTCTCTGTCTCTCTCTCTCTCTCTGTTTCTCTCTCAAATCAATAGGTATATCTTCAGGTGAGGATTTTTAAAAAATGTTATGGGGACAATTAAAGAGCTAAAGAGAAAAAGGCAGGATTAAGGTTATGAAGAGAAATTTTCAATGTTCAATTAAAGTTGTTGAAAGCTGAAGGTAAGCAAGGATATGTCAGTGGAAAAATGAGGAGTGAAATGATTTCCAAACAAGTTCAATAATAAGGAGAGCTCTTACTTTGATTTGTTTACTGACTAAATGTCGGGAAAAAGAGGAACAAAGTATAAAAGAAAATACTAGTAGTACCTGTTTGATGATATACCCCCCAGCCTGCTGCTTCTGTGTTTGCTCCTCATACTCAGAATGCTCCTCCCTCATACCAAATACTGTACTGCCGTTCCTTGAAATTTTCTGTTCAAATGACATATCCGCTGAGAACTCTTTCCAAATTGTGTCTCCCCTCTTCTCAATTAGAAGCCATCTTCCTCTTTGCAATACCCACAGCACTTCCTCTATGCCTGTCTCATAGTATACATCATTATATACCCTGTACTATGGTCATTATTGTTTTAGCTCC